TCAACTCCGGGAGCGCCGTCAGCCCCAGGTCCTCCAGCGACTGCGACGACGGCGTAGACGCGAACAATGACGACGCCCGAGTCGACGGCGCCGTCGCCGTATACACGACAGGCTCCGGCATGCGGACCTCCGCGTTCGCGACTGTCTCCTCACGGTGGGGCCCGGGCCCAGGGTCGAGGGGCGAGATGGTCCCGGAAGGCAATCGCACTGTGGGACGCATCGTCGCTGAAGAGCTTGAGAGATCCTCTTCGGCCGTAAGGTAAGTCGTATCCGTCGCCGTCGAATCAGGCGAGATGCCAAGCCCCGGACCCGCCCCGCCCAACCCCGCTACAGTACCCAAAAACATAATCAGTCGGTACTGAATTGTAACCAACAAAAAGACGTACGTGGCGTCCCGAACTTAGGAGGAGTACTCGACACAGGCAACGGCACAGGCCGCATATCCGGGGACTCCCTCGAAGGCGGCAAATCCCAATTCCATTCCCACTGCCTCTCCTTCTCAATCACAATCGGCGACGTCACCTGCGCCTCCTCCCCACCGCCCCCATCGCGCAGGAACGCCGTGCGCATCGCCTTGACATCCACGACGATCTTCTCAAAGGACGGGCGCACGTCTGGGTCTTGGTGCCAGCACACCCGGAGGAGGTCCTGGAGCAAGGGGGTGTTGAACGGTGTGTTGGGGACGGTGGGGCGCTGGTTCTCGCCTAAGGGACAGTGGGGTTGATGTATCAGTTCATTGTTCGGACGGCAACGGTCACGAGATAAAGAGAGAGTCAGGGGTGCGTAGGCATTAGTTACGTTAAGACGCAACCGAAAGCGGCGGGAAGGGCTCAATCGAGAGGTTCCCGTTTGAAGATTAATGCAAAACCACTTACTGAGCACAAAATGCCTAACAGCCACATCATCCAACAACGCCCACGGCACCCTCCCCATCGACAAAACCTCCACACACGAGATCGCATACGCATACACATCCATCTGCGGCGTAAGCGCCAGCTGGCTCAGCCCCGACATAAGCTCCGGCGCCTGCCACCTCAGCGTCCCATCTACACCCGACCAAAAACAACCGCTCGTCAATGAGGGAGGAGAATGTGAGGGGGATGAATGGGGGGGGCACGCACGAGGCGGGGCAGTCCCACTGATCCGGTACGCCTCGCTCTTCATCTCGCTCTGTCCGAAATCAGAGATGACACAGCGGATATCATCGTCCACCAGAACATTCGCAGCCTACAACACCAACAACCCGGAATCAACAAACCCGACACAGAGGATGGATTCAAATGAATAAACGAACCTTAAGATCCCCGTGCAACACCCCGTTCCGATGGAGGTAATCCATCCCCTTCGCAATCTCCAGCATGAACCGAAACAAATCGCCCTCCCTCGGCACCACCCCCTGCTCCTCCCTCCCCCGGCTCCCCCCACCCGGGCTCCTACTCCCCCCACGCACCCGCACGGGGAAGCTCGTCGTGCGCCCCCTCGGGCCCCCACCTCTACCAGTCTTCCCAGCCGCCCTCCCCCCCTCCTCCCCCGCCCCCGCCACAGCCACCCGCTTCAAAAACTCCACCAAACTCCCCCTCCGCATATACGCACTCACAAAGAACCACGGCCTCTCCCCACTCGCACTGCTCGCCCCATACAGCTCCAGCACATTCTCATGCCTCAGCCCCTTCCAGATCCCCACCTCCCTTACAAAGAGCTCGCGCGGCGTCGTCGCCGCCAGGATCTTGATCGCCACGGTCCGTCCGCGCCATTTCCCGCGGTACACGTCGGAGAAGAACCCGATCCCGATCTTCTGATCGCGGTCTACCTCGTAGCGCGTGATTGTCCAGGAGGGCAGGTTGGTCTCGACCCCGCGGCTCATCCGCCTCAGCGCGTCGATGCCGCTCTCGATGAACTCCCGGTCGAGCGTGTCCCGCCCCCATCCGTCCGCCGACCCGCTCCTGCTGTTCGTCCCAGACGTCCCGCTTCCGCTCCCGCTCCCCGTCGTAGCAGTCGCCGTACTCCCCGTCGTCTTAGTCCTCGTAAGCTTAATCCTTTCCAACACCTTCCCCTTCCCCTTCTCCCCCTCCCTCCCCTCTTTCTCTTTCTCTCTCTCAACCCCCACCGCCTCCTGATCCTCCGTCTCCTCCTGCTCCCCAACGCGCTCCAACGCCCGCTGCAGCGTCTTAATCGCCTCCGGCATCTCCTCCCTCCCAATCTGCAACACCCCCAGCATCTCCACATCACTACTCGTCTGCAGCGCCGCCCGCATCAACGCCCTTAGATCCGCACTGTCCCGTGCCGCATCCAGCGTGTTCTGCGTCGAGTGCAGCGTCCGCAGCGTCGGGAGGATCTGCGACGCCCGTAGGCGCGACGGCGAGGCGGGCGGGTCGAGCATTTGGGTAGTAGCATACGGAGGCGGCTGCGGGGTCTTGGGTGTGTCGGGGGCTTGGTTTCGTACCGGACTTGGTGGGGGGGAAAGGCCGTAGATGCCCTCGAGGAGGAGACGCGTGTCGGCTTCGCGTTGGCGCTCGGAGGCTTGTACTTGCTTGAGGATGCGGATCTGGATGGAGATTCCGAACCGGCCGAGTGCTTCGCCTAGTGAGGCGTCGCACTCGCTGATCTGAGCGAGAATCTCGTCCCTCTTGAGGTATCGCTTGAGGAACGGTCGGTGGACCTGTTTTTGCAGGAACATGTGCACGTTGCTGAACGATCTGGGGGTGATAATTAGTCTCATTTAAATAATCAGATATTTGGCGACGTACTCTTCGAGCTTGGCAATGGGCTTGGCAAGTTCCTCGCCGACCATATCGCCTGTCTCATGGAGTTCCTCCCGGATCGAGAGTAAGATATCAGCGCACCGCTCAGTGAGGCGCAGGCACGCCAGCCGATTCGTCTGGAAGTTAAATTTAGATCTGTAACTTTGAACTCAAAGAGAAAATGACGTACGTCAACGAGTTCGAGCGCGTCCCAAATGTTCAGCAAAACACGCGCAGCCGATGCAAGCCCCGGCACCGGCGCGAATTCCAGCAACTCCACCGCCGTCGACATGACTTCATGCGTCACCCCCGCCGCCGTACCCAAAATCGACACCGCAGCCTGCGCAACTCTCTGCCGCGACATCAGAATTTACATACACCCAAAACGGAGATCGGCGAACGTACCTGGCGGGTATGGATGTACCCCTCCGTCTGTTCCTCTGGCACCGTCTTCTTCCTTCGGGGCGGATCCCGCCAAGGCCTGTGCGCCACCTCCGTGTCCCGCCCGTACCCTCCCCACCAGCTAGACGGCGGCGCATTCGGCGGCGTGGAGCTCCCCATAACCGTTCCCTCCATACTATCCATCCGCCCCCTTGACATCGTAATCCCAAACACCTTGAACGCGTTCACCTCCTGCTTCTCGTCGTGGTCATTGTGCGCGAGTGGTACGCTCGGCTCGGAGATGACTCTGCTGAGAGGCGTGCCGAGGGAGAAGGAGCTGCGCGGCTGGCGGATGATCGAGGTGGACTGGCCACGGGGCCGGGAGGGGAACGGCGAGGGCGGGGAGAGGATATCGGGTGGGAGGAGCTTAGGCGTGTGTGTCGGCGTGGTCGAGTTTGACGACGACGTCGATGGGGTGAATTGCAGGCTGGAGGAGGTCGCTCCCATCGACGGCGACGCGGGAGGACGTGACGACACCATCTCTTTTCGGAATATAGGGAATCGGAGCTGGATTCGATGTTATAGCTGGAAAGTACAAGGACTGGGGGAATTGCCTTTGCACGCCGTACGATGTCCAGGTAACAGGCAGCGACAGCGGTCGTCGCAGCAGGAATCAAGCGTCTTTTGGCGGGGCTGACGTTGTGTTGTTGCCCCGTCGGCGATATGACAGCCGTGGGAGGATCGAGTGATCGGGCCTAAAGGGGAGATTATGTTTTTGCCTCCGGGCGCTTGTGTTGGCGGACCCGATTCTTCGTCGTGCTTTATATACGAGGGCGAGGTGGGGGCACTCGTTAGAGGGAGGTGCGCAGTGAGAGGCTCTGTCAGCGCAAAGGTAGGTGCTATTCCTGTGCATATGATGGTAAGTCAATGTGACGAACAAAAAGTGGACACTGCTACAGGCTATCCATGACGACGCAGCGACGTGACGAGATACAACGTACCCGAACCCCGAATTCGGAAGAAAGTCACCCAAGGAGCCCATAACAGGCCGGATTGGAAGCCGGCCGGAGTTGGTAGAGCATAGGTATCACACGCCCCGAAATCCCACACGTTCGGAATCGAAGCTCTCTCTGTGACTGACGCTGACCCCAGTTTTTCTTGCTCTCTGCAAGATCGCTCATACGCAGCACGTCGAGCGGAGTGTGCACCCCGTCGTCCATTCCAGCGAACTCGCGATACGTAATGGAGAGGCCTGCGCGAATTTCTGGCCTGCATATACCACCATTTCGAGCCCCACTACTGCCAGATCCCCCCCCAGGATTCGTCCACCACCCTTGATTGTCTATTGTGCATCCCACGACACTGCGGACAGCGCTGACAGTGAATGGAATCCACGGACGGGATGATCGATACGCTTCGAAAGGGGCTCACCGTCTCTTGACACCCTCATCTGAATCTCCCCGGTTCCATACCCATACCTTTTGAGGCCTGTCCTCCAACTAAGTCCTGTGAGGGCTCAACGCACCCACTTGTCCATGCCATTCGAGTCGATGACCCACTCTTACTCCGAGATCATCATGTATATGCCGCCAGCTCTGCTCAACGATGTCCCGCGGCCTCTCCATTGTCTAGATGTATGATGATGTCAGATAGCCGTGAGGTCTAAGCCGCCACACTGGGGCAGAAGCGCGCAAATCGTCACTCGCTGGCCTTCATCTCCTCTCTTCAGACGCGGGGGCTCGTCCCAGGATACCCATCCAACCCCACGTCTTTCCGCTCCCCCTTTTTCACGCCTCGAATCAGATCTTGCCCTCCATCTTCATCCGTAGATGCGGTATCCTTATGCCCCACTGGAACACGTCTCGCCATGGGAGACATGGTGAGATGGCCGAGCGGTCCAAGGCGCCAGACTAAGGTGAAATGTTACGTGGAAATTGAACCATCTGGTCTCTTCGGGGGCGGGGGTTCGAATCCCCCTCTCATCATAATATCGTTTACCGGCAATTTTTTACATCCTACAAGGTGTAGGAGGCTTTGTGTACATGCTGCGGGATCACTATCCCGATTCCCAAGTTCCATGTTTCACCAGGACGCGAAGTTGGCTCCCCCATTCCCCGCCCCATCTTCGGGTCCGGGAGGGTATCTGAAAACAGCCTATTCTGACATCCAAAGGCTATCTCATCACCACTCGCATCACGATACATCCGACATCTGATGATAGGAGTTCCAACCACACTCGCAGCACCGCACCCTTGGGATGCCCTTTCGCTTCACTTCCCAATGTGACATGGGCTCGTAACCTTCCACATCGAGTTCGGGGGCCCTCTTGAGTCTTTAGGACCCACCTCGCAATCCATCGCGGACTCGATGTACATCCTTTAATGATATCTCAATAGCCTCACCCGATTTCCACGCATATTAGAGTATTGGTGATGAATGCAAACCCTCCTGTATAAAGCCTTGTTTTCCCCGCGCAAAACTGCGCTTTCACGACCCTTACACCCAGGTCGACCCATCGCGTTTCGTATAGTCCTCAAGATCTTACCTACATTCATCTACCATCCTTTCACCGCTTCGAAGGGAAATATGAGTCATCCACGCAACGGTTATCTTGCCACTAGGTTGTCGCCCGCCGCAGCGACGCGGTCCGAGGTCGGCTGGTGACTTCACACCACCCTGGATTTAGAATGCAGAGCACTTTTCAGATGAATCTTTCTATTTTCCCCGCAAGCCTACCTCTGGCATCTGTTATATAGTATTAGACGAAGCGCTGTGATATGTTTGAGGGATACTGACCGGCTCGTGATCGCGGTCCGGCAGAGAATAAGATCATGACCGGAGAATCTGAATCGCTGATTGCCACAGGGTTACATGGCAACTTGGCCGAGCGGTCTAAGGCGCCAGAATCAGGATCTGGTCTTTCGGGGCGTGAGTTCGAATCTCACAGTTGTCATTTCCAAGTATCACCTTTTTGCTGAATCTGCCTCTCTCAAGTCTACTGTCTTGGCCGGAGGCCGCCATGGCTGTGTCAGACTTCAGTGAGTTCTCTGGAGGTGAAAAGTAGCCGTATTCGAAGGAAAGGTACTATGATTGATAGCGCGATGAATACAGGTTTTATGGCGATGCGCTAGGTGAAAAGGGAACACAATCCAAGAAAATGTTCTCAGCTAGGACATCCAAGGTCTTTACGACAAGCTCATGCTCAGCCCCGCCGCGAAATAAGTCGTAGCGCCTCCAATGCCCTTCACTCGAATAATTTTAGCCGGACGGTCATATTCGGCGCGCCGTCATATATGTTGACCCTTATGAAAAAGGCCCAGCTCCTAGCTCAGGCTTGTTCGTTGCAAGGTTATACGGCATCTGCACCTTGATGGCTATACCTTGGATCCAGACGACAGGCCCTTCCGAACATGAGAAGAGCGGTACCAGCGTCTGGTGTGTCTTCCTTGAGGTTAAAGAGTCTGTTCTAAGTATCGTCTGCCGGATGCGTAGAGTGGTTTCGGGGTGACCGTGGTCCGAGAGGGCCAGGCACATTTTCTTATGGCTACTCCATGGTTTCTTTAGGTACAGATCGCGTCAATAATCCAAGAATATGCAATGAAGCATGAAGAATGTAGCACGCACTTTGATAATCCACGGAGCATGTCATTCATTGCAGTTCTTGAGGGTAGCGTCTGTGACCTGTCCACCAGCAATAGTCGCGACATTTTCCCCTCTCGGTGCTTCCTCTTCGCTCCTCTTCTTGGACCGTTTCCGAACGACAGAACAGATTTTTTCGGGATCATGCCTGCTTCCTTGACCTACAAATCGGCGCCAAATTCCATGAGCGGGTCGGTGACAGCAACATGACTCTTCTGGGATACCGGAATATTGACACCTTTCAGAAACGGTTTTGGCAGTTGACATCGGCCCCGGCTTACAGAAACTTCAGTACGAGTGCAAATTGGAGCGAACCACTAGTAACAGTGTTACCAAGAGCAGTGAAGTCAAGTCAACTATATCTGGGACGTCGAGGGGAAGCCCATACGAGATAAGGTAAGTACTTTAGGACTTCCAGACACTTGGACATTGGCTTGGATCGTACTCGCTGAACTCCATGCCTGCGAGGTCCGGCACCGCGTCCAATTCTACCGGCGAAGAAGTACATATAGGCTTCCGTTATTGTCGGATAACCCTAAGACTCATAGCGGTGGACCATTTCGACTCAGCCTATACAACAGCACAGGCCACGGTGGGACGACTTTTCACGGTTAGGTTCTGAAGCCTGATTGATTAAGAGTATCCTGCATCTCTCGAATTACGGTGAGACTTCCATAGTTCGTGTCAGTTTTTGAAACTTGGGACTGCTTGAAATCGAGAATTGGCATGCAAATTAGAGATGGTGGATGCTCGTAAGTGGCTGCAGGGGAAAATGGCACTCTTGTCGGTGATCGGAACTTGAAGCTTTGCTTGAGGCCTTGAGGGTCAATATGGCCAAACAGCAGCAAATAGCGGCTTTCCCCTCGTCGATCCCGTCGCGTTGCGAACCAGTTGCTATGATGCATAGCTTTCCTTTTTCTCTCCCTGTTGTTCCGAGTTCAGTAGTTGATGTTGGCCTCTTTCGCTTTCAACCGTGGTCGGTAATTGTCAGACCTCTTGTGATGAACCTTGTATGTTGGCCTTGCCTTTGTCGCAGTTGTTGTTCTCCGTGGTGCGGTCGGGAAGGATGGCCATAGTTCTCTGGAGAGGCCCATCAAAGCCACCGCTATGCGGTCTTATAAAAGGTCGGCTCAGACCCTCATGAAAAGCGCTAAACGCGCCCCTGAAGTCCCACCCCTACCCTGAAGATTCCTGAGGACCACCCTCGCTTCTTCACCCCTGCTACAGTGACAACGTGAGTCGTCCCGTCATACACCAGTCATCTCATAATGATATATTCTCTAGGAATTCTTCATCTACAACACAGATGATAGACCCCCACTCGAGGAAGGGAGTCTTTGGGAGACTGGGACAAATGTTCGGTCTTCTACTGCCCAGTTCGATCCAGTACTACAAGAATGGTCCTTCCGTCCTACCTTCCTACTCTGAATGGGATGACCCAGAGCTAGCGCTGGGAGATGATCTCACCCAAGTATCTCCGAAATCTCCATGCCCCTATAACACCCTCTATCCTCGCGAAGGATCTATTGCGTCTCTTGATTCATCAGGCGATGATATGAATGAACGACCGCCCCCTCTACCCAAGCCGACCGTGAAACAGGCGCCCATTGGGACATCTCGACCTACTCCATCAGGCCATACTAGGAGCTCCCTCCGCAATGCGGCGTCTACTCAGCCTCCAAATGGTTCCGATCACCAGCGCACATATGTAAGGCGCCAGGTCACGCATGTCACAGGACCAACGTCTCCTCCACCCCTTCCGTTGACCAGCATGTTGGGGAGATACCAAGCGGCGAAGCGTGCATCCCGCCCCAGAGATACAAAACGCTCTGTTCCCATACACCCCCAGCCTGATAGCCGCCCCATCATCGATTTGTCTGACAGGCAAGAGCGCTTCAATATGGTGGAACTGGTTGGAAGCGGCGACGACGGTGTTCCAGGAAGCTCAAATTCACGATCCCATTCTGATTATCGGCCCAAATCGTTCACCGCCAAGCCCCCAGACCCTGGCTATATCGCCAGGCCGCTCCGCACCATCCCACTTCCCAATGTACGTCCCGAACCACATTCAGACTTTGTATCCCATCACGCCACCGTCACGCCTCTTCATGAAGAACCGCTTCTGTTCCAAGGTCTAATCGACACAGAACGCCGCTATACGCAAGACTTAGTCTCCGATGACCCGGTAATATACGTACCGCCCCGATCCACCTGGGGCGCGGCACCTCACAAGTCCTTCCGTACGCCTGGAACGAACCCTATGGACCCCCGTTCCCCTCTGAAACCCGCTCAGTCATTTCGCCGGACACCTGGGATACCTCACGCCTTCAAGAGCCACCCGGTGCCAATCTCCTCCCATAACCCGTTCAGGCATCCCTCCAGGCAGGTGAACGTCCAGCCTTCCACACAAGCTGTCCCCGTCGGTCAACGAGGTCCACCGCACGACCCATCGCACGACCATGTGTTCGCGCCCAGGCCCCAGCTGTTCAACCCTGAAATAGTCAAGAACTTGGAACGTCTCGTCGAAGACGACGAAGAGATCATTCTCTACATGGCTTCTCAGCGTATGGTCAAGTCCGAGCCCTCACCTGACGTTTCCATCGACGACGACGCCGAGCCGACCGAGCGCTGGAGTAGCAGATGGGCCGCTTCATCAGGCGTGGTAAACCCCGGTCGTTTTGCGAAAGAACCATGGCGCACGTCTCCTCCGAAGGCTCACTCTGGTCTCCTGGAAGGTGTCGGCGAAGTGAAGCCTAAGATAGGATTGTTCGATGATTTCCCTGTATGTGAAATGTCTATCGCGATGGGGCTGCACGATGATACGCCCCCAACCAATGTCACGATCCAAGCGAATGATGTCGACTAAATAATGTTCTTCCGGTGTTCTTTGTTGCTCTGTTGTCATGTTTCCATCTTGTAATGCCCCGAATGCCCTGTCATGACTAGTATATATTATGATCCAGATACTGTAACAGACTCTGATTCCTTCCATAACGAATAAAGATAATGTCTCTCCTCTACACGGCCTTGTCTAGTCTACCAGCCCTTCCACACATCCCCGAACTTCCACCTAAGATGCCTCTTCAAAGGTGCCTCACGCCAGCAATGCCCATGCCCAGCGCTCGCACGACCTCCAGGCCCTTCTTCCGCCTCTCCTCGACAGCACCTCCCATCGCAGCATCCCACCACCGCTCCTCCTCAGGCACCTCCCTCCATCCACCCCTCAACAGCGTCTGCAGCTTCTTGATGCTCCCACCCGCGGGCTTCGACATCACCGCCTTCGCCTGCGGCCAATGCGGCGGCGGGTTCGAGGGGGAGTAAGGCGTGGCGACATCCGTGCCGGGGA